GTGGACTCTGCGGCTTCGTCGCAGCAACGGGCCGCATCTCGGCCGGGCTGCTCTTCTCGGGCACGGTCACCACGGGCGTCATGTTCAGGGTCTTCGTCGGTGACTTGTAGAAGGAGGGTATGTCCGGGGTTTTTGGCGGCTGGGTCAGGTCGAACGTTTCGTAATTCGGGTCTTCCTGGTCGGTGTCCGTGTCGATCTGGAGATCGTGCTCGCTCTGCGGCGTGTCCGGCTTGAGGTCCGCGTCGCCTTCCCCGGTGGAGGCGTTCAGACTCTCGACCGCCTGCTGCATCTCCTCGACGTCCTCCTGAGGCGCCTCGGCCGGAGCCCCGGCGACCCCGTCCGCCTCGGCTTCTTCTTCCTCGCCCTCGTAGGAGAAGTCCTCGGTCGAGGCGCCGAAAGTCTCCTCGAGCAAGGCGGCGACCGCGTCCTCCGTTTCCTCTTGCGATATCGCGACCCGCGGCTTGTCTTCGTTCTGCGTCGGTGGCGTCGTCGGCACCGGCACCTCCGGCTCCTCCCTGCCGCTGCGGGACTGGCTGCCGTCTCGCTCGTCCGGCTCCGAGATGCTCTTCACGGCGTTCTCGTGAATGGCCTCGTCGATCTCGATCCCGAAGCCGGGTATCAGCTTCTCCTTCTTCTTCTCGAGCTTGGGGGTTTGAACGCCGCCGCTCACGACCGGCGGAGTGGCCGACGACACGTTCGCTTTCGGTATCGGGCTCAGCAGGGTTTCTCTGGCCGTGGGCAGGGTGGGCGACATCGTCTTGGATATCAACGGACTGCTCGCTCTCGGCGGACTAGGCTCGGCGCCCAGGTAAGGCAATTCGCCGCTCTTCTCGTGATGGTGGTGGTGGTGGTGATGGTGGTGGTGATAGTCCTTCCTGCTGCGCTCCTCCTTCGATCTCTTCCGCTTCTTCTTCTTCTCCTTGACCTTCTCCGGCGCGGTCGAGGGTGTGGACGGCTCGATACTGTCATTGTCGTCGGTGAAACGGAAAACGTCGTGGTCGTTGGACTCGTTGCACGCGGCCGCCGCGGCTTTCGGGGAACTCGGCATGCCCAGGAGCTTCGCCTCGATCTCACGGCCAGCCTCGGCTAAGTCGACGCTGTTCTCGTCCTCCGGCTGGTGGCGCCGCTTCTTCTCCGTCTTCCGCCTCACTCGGTCCATGTCGAGCGGACTGCGACCACCGTCGCTGTCCGACGCGTAAACGCTGTTCTCCGACGTCATGTTGCCGAACCGGTTGAAGAACGTGTTGGACGGGCCGTCGTCGACGTCGTCCGAGAGCGGGCCGAAGATGTCCTCCATTCGTTGCGAGTCCCTCGCCTCCTGCCGGTTGAGCCTCTTCCGCCTCGCCTTGGCCTTGTCCTCCCCGTTCCGGTCGCGTCTCTTCTCCTTCTTGCTGCGTTGCTTCTTGCTCTCCGCCCGCAGCCTCTCCTCGACGTTCTCCAGAGACGCCGGGACGACGACGGTGGTGGTGGTGGTGGTCGTGGTGGTGGTAGTGGTGGTGGTGGTGGTGGTGGTGGTGGTGGTGGTGATCGCGGCCGGTTCCGAGCCGTGATTCGGCCGACAGTCGGTCGGCGTCGCGATCGCCACGTTGGCTTTGCTCTTGTGCTCCGCGTTGTCCGCCGGCTCGACCTTCAGACTGTTCTCATGCGAGATGCTGTTCTTCTGACGCTTCTGCTTCTTCTTGTGCGACTTCTTCCGCGAGTCCCTCTCGTGATTGATCACCTCGATTATCGGGTGGCTCCTGCGGAATCCGATGGAGATCTTCTCGTCTTCGTCCGAGGTGCGGGGTTCCTCCTTGATGGTGGCGTGCACGCTGTTCACGATGACGCCCGAGACCTCCAGCCGATTCTGCTTCTCCTCGGTGTCGGCGAAGCCGAGGTCGACGTCGCTCTCGAGGAACCTTTCCGACTTGACGACCGCCTTGCGTACCTTGTTGTTGAACGGCTCCTCCTCCTCGCTGGTGTCCGAGTGGATGCGCGAGCGCGAGCCCTTCCTCGAGAGGGACTTGGTTCTCGTCGAGTCCGACTCGGAGGTGGCCTCGTCCTCGGTCAGGGCTTTGCTGCTCACCGAATCCCCGTCCCACGACGTGCTCTGCTTCTTCTCCTCCCGCCTCGCGCGACTCTGCTTCAGCTGCGAGAACTTGTCCTTCAGCCGCACCTGACGCTTCTCCTCCTCCAGCTTCTGCATGTTCTTCGTCGAGCGAGCCTTCACCTTGTCGTACATGCTGATGTAGGCGGGCTCGTCGTCGACGATGTCGAAGATCGAGTGCTTCTTGGGCTCGTCGCTGTCGGTGTCGGTGGCCGACGGGTGCCGCTGCCTCGCCACTTGGATCTCGTGGGTGGACAGCGGACCGTCGTCCACGTCGCTGTGCAGCGCGGACTGCTGATGATGCTGCGAGCCCAGGGAGGCTTGCTCGTTCGACGAGCTCGAGTCGACGCTCTTGGGCAGCTCCAGCCTCGACAGGAACTCCTTCTCGGGCTCGTGCGAGACTCTCGGGCTGCGCTCCCTCGACTCCTTCTCCGAGCGATTCCTCTTCATCTTCTGCTTCTCCTTGCCGGCGTTGTTACTCTCCCGGGTGGATTCGTTGTGCCCGTCCGTACCGGCGCTCTCCTTGCCGTCGCGACTCTCCCTGCTCTCCCGACTGGAACGATGCGAGTCGTTGCGGTGCTTGCGGTCCTCCGATCTCCTGTTCTGCCGGGACGAGCGGTCCTTGCTGTCCCGCCGGTGGTCCGAGATCTTCATACGCTTCGCGTCCTCTTCAGGAGGGCCGTCCTGCGAGGAACATCTGCGCTTGATCGACACCGGCGCCGCCGGGCTGATCTGGGACGACGCGACGGAAGGGTGCAGCACGTGGTTCTCGGTGGGCTGAGAGGGCTGCTGCCGCCTGCCGTCCTTCTCCTCCCGCCTCTTGTCACGCTCGGCCTTCTCCTTGTCCCGCCTCTCCTGATCCTCGCGCTCCTTGCGCTTCTCCCGCTCCAAGCGCTCGCGCTCTTCCTTCTCCCGTTTCTCCTTCTCCAGCTTCTCCCGTTCCTCCTTCTCCTTCCGTCTCTCCCGCTCGATCCTCTCCTTCTCCTCCCTCTCCCGCTTCCTCTCTCGCTCGAGACGCTCCTTCTCCTCCCTCCTCCTTTCCCGCTCTTCCTTCTCCCTTCGTTCCTGCTCTTCCCGCTCCCTCCTGAGACGCTCCTTCTCCTGCTTCTCCCGGAGTTCGCGTTCTTTCCTCTCGCGTTCCTCCCGTTCCTCGCGTTCCTTCCTCTCGCGCTCCCGCCTCTCGCGCTCCTCGCGCTCCCTCCGTTCCTTCTCCTCCCGTTCCCTCCTCTCGCGATCGATTCGCTCCTTCTCCCGCCTCTCCTTCTCCTTCAGCTCGTTCTCCTCTCTCTCCTTCCTCTCGCGTTCTCTCTCTTCCCGTTCCCTCCTATCCTTCTCCTGCCGTTCCTTGTCCAACCTCTCCCTCTCCCGCCTCTCCTCGTCCTTCTCCCGCTTCTCGCGTTCCTCCCTCTCCTTCCGTTCCTGCCGATCGCGATCCTCCTTGTCCCTCCGATCCTCCTTCTCCTTCCTCTCCTTCTCCTCCCGTTCCTTCCGCTCGTACCTCAGCTCCTTGTTATCCTTGCTATGACTATCCGTCTCGCCGATGTCGTTGACGACGCTCTCGTCTCTGTCCTTGCGGCTTCTCTCAACGTCGACCTCCTCCTTCCGCGACCTCCTCTGACAGTCCTTCCCTTTACCGTGCTTCGACTCCCTGCTGTCCTTACCGTCGCGAGAGTCTCTACTCTCCCGACTGCTAGCGCTGCTCTCCTTCCTCAAACGAGAACGAGGCAAATCTGTGGAAGATGTGGATAATGACGACGATGATGAGGAAGAGTTAGATGAGGATGTTATGGAAGACGGTGGAGCTATCGAACTGGTAGTAGTCGTGGGAGGTGTCGCACCTATCGTCGCCGAGGTGGCCGATGTCGCCGTGCAGGTTGCAATCACAATCGCGAAAGCGTCCGTGGTCGCGGACGCCGTGGGCGAAGCGGTGCTGCTCGCAGAAACGCTCAGTCCCCGATGCGTCGAGGCCCCGAGGCTGTGAATGCTACCCGCGCTACCGTTGCCGCTACCAAGGCCGATCGGTAGAGAAACCGGTGGTAATTCGGGACTAACCGTCTTGACGGATGTACCGGGGGTGATCGGCGTCGCCGGCGTCGGGTGTACGCAGTTATGCTGCGCTATCCGCGGGTCGCTCTTCATCGCCGACGTGGTGACCATGGTCGTGGTCAAGGACGTGTTCGCCGGACCGATCGACGCGCCACTGCTGCTCAGCTGTACCGGCGGATGACTAGGAAACGGATACTGTAGGCAAACTTTGCTGGTACAGCTGCTGCTGCTAGCGGTGAGGCCAGCGGTGCTACCGATCATCGAGACCGATCCGATGCCGATAATACCGGTGAACTCGCGCGGTTCGTACTTTTCACTATAGTTTTCCAATCGCTTCGAGTCCTCGTCGAACACGCTCCTCTTCGCCAGGACCGACTTTACGATGTCGGAGGGTTGCACCTCGTGGAGCTGCATATGGAGCAACTTGTGCGGGAACTTGAATCGCTCGGAGCTACTCGCGTCGATCTTGGCGAGGGCGTCACCGCCGGCGGCGCTCAACGCCCTGGAACCGGACCACTTCTCGTACTTCTCGTCCAAAGAGCGTATCCTCTCCTCCAGACTAGGGGACTGCGGCGCTGTTTCGCTGTCGGAACTGGTCGGGCTCGAGCTGGGGTGCCTCGGCGGTGGCGAGGCCGGCGGTTGCGGAGCGGCGCGTGGACTGGCCGCCGTGGAGAAGTTGGCGCACGGCGGGCTGGCCACTTTCGCCAGGCTGGCGCCGCTCGACCTGCCGCCGTTGTTGTTATTGCTGCTGCTGGTGTTGTTGTTGTTGTTGTTCAGCATCTGAGCCGCGAACCTCGGCAAGGGCAGCGACAGTGGGCCCTCGTGGCTCCTCTCCCTGAATCGTCTCGGTTCGCTCGGCACCAGGTTCTCCGGCCGCTCGTCCACGAGAGGAGTGCCCGGTCGAGATCCATCGTGGTGCTCGTGATGCCTGGAAAGATCGCTGCTTAAATCTCAGTGATTGCGCGTCGAGTGCTCGCTTCGAACGTTTCCTTACCTGCTGGTAGCATCCCGACGGCGTTTGCAAGGTCCGGGACCCCTGCCCTCGCAGCTGCTCCTCCTCGCGCTATGGTGTACCACTACTTTGCTATCGCTAACGCGCCTAAACTCCATGCTTTTTCTACTAGAATGCGAGGTGACGAGCAACGAGGCGATTTCCGGCTCGTCGTCCTCGCAGAGTATAGTCGACGACGAGCTGTCGAGCTTCGCGCGCTTCTTAGGCGCGAATCCGACCTCATCGCCGCTACTGTGGCACTCCTCGAGCTGCTCCAACAGGTGGACGCGTTCCTTCTGCAGATGCCGGATGTCGGGCGGAGGTAACAACGGCGGCGGCGGCGCGGGTGGATCGACGCTCGTCACGACGCTCTGCACCGCGTGACGCCGCGACGGTGGCGGACAGTCGTCGTCGTTGAGCTTGCCGTCGCTGAGGACGCTGCTCTGGTAGTCGTCGTGACTCGCGCCGCTCCCCTGGCTGAACTCGTCGTAACTGCGGAACCGACGCGACGTCGGTTCACCGTAGTCACCGTCGTAGTACGAGTCCTGGTAGGACCGTCTGCTGCTTCGCGACATCGCCGTCGGATGAGCCGGACTGGCGCCTGGGGTGCTCCCTCCGGAGGTTCGCGAATAGCTCGCCGTTCTCGATCGCGGGGGCGTGTCGTAGCGTGTGAATCGGCTGCACGAACTTGACACCGTGACCGCCGAGTCGAAACTACCGCGCTCCCGCCTAGAAGGAATCCTTCGAATCACGAATGCACTTGTTTTAAGCTCCCGATTATGACTCGTGTACCTAGGCGCAAGTATGTGCTCTCATGTTTATCAAGTAATTAGAATTCAACCTGGCGGAGTAAGTGAATGTCAGAGAGTGTCGAAATAATCGCACTTTTCAACAACGACTGAGAGAGAAGATACGTGTGTTGACGACACGTTTTGTATTCTGTGCTGTATGAGAGTGATGCGATGATATGAAGAAGATGAAGGGAGTGTACATACGTCACATCGAACGACGATGCGGGCGAAGGTCTCGAGTCCCAGGGTTTCTCGCTGGTGTTCCCTTGGCGTTCGAGGTGTTCGTAGAACGTCTCCTGACACTCCCGAGACGCGAAATCGACCTGCAAACGACGGCCCCGAAGCACCACTCCTCGCATCTCTTTCACGGCGGCCTGAGCGCAACTGATCTGGTCGAAGAAGACCAAAGCCTGGCCGCGCTCACGGTCCACCACTACCTGAGTTATCGGCCCGAACTGGTGAAATTGCATGTTGAGATACTTCTCAGACATGCAATCTAAGGGAGAAAAAGACACAATAATATGACATCCGTCCTGTTTGCCGGATGTTTCGCCATTTTCTCCAAGTGTTCTCTCTCTCTTTTTTCAAGAATTTTTCTAAACCCATGAATAAAGGCAGGATCAATCGCAGATAATTACCTCCAATGCCATCGACCCAAACGCAGGATGTGGGCATCGATTTTCCAAAGCCGAGTTTAATTCGATTTGTACCTAGATGCTCGCCATCCATGGATCTCATGGCTTTAACGACGCTACCGATATCCGAATATTGACAAAAAGCGTAACTCGACACGGCGCCTTGTTTCTTTATATCAATTTCCTGCAAATCAATAGGACAATATCTACATTTAACACCCTCCATTCGCGTATTCATCCCGCAGTCGAGCAAGTGTCGTTTATTTATTATCCTCTATTTTCAGATTCACGATTCAACTCACGATTATCTCGCCGAACGGCTCGAAATGTTTCCTGAGCTCGGATGCCGTTACGTCCTTCTCGAGGTTGCCGATGAATAACGTTCTCGTCGCCTTCGGATGGTACTCGTCGAGTTCCGCCTCGTACGGCCTGAACTCGTTGTCGTCGACGTCATAGCCCTGATAAGGCGCCACCTCGATCTTGCAGCCGAAGAAGAGCTTGTCGTGCGACACCTCGAGGGCTTTCTCGACATCCTCGGGCTTTTTGAAACACACGAGGGCGTACCGGTCGCCGGCTACACCAACGACCTTCACCCACGTCACCTTGCCGTGTTTCTTGTACTCGTGAAAGAGGCCGTCCTTGAGGGAGGTATCGCTGCTACGGGTAGGCAGGTTCCTCACGCAAATGGCCAGCGCTCGGCGATCCTCCGTGACGGCGGCGTTGCTGGTGCGATGGGGCGAGCTACCGGGCGACGTGCTACCACCAGTGGTGCTACCGCCCGAGCTACCGCTCCGGCTACTACTGCTACTTCCGGAGCGACTGCTACCGCTCGGCGAGCTGCTCCCGCTGCGCGATTTTCTGCGCTGCTTCTTGTGTTGTCGCAGAGCACCGCTGCTGCTGCTACCGCCGCCTCCACCACCTCCTGCAACGAGAGAACACATCGTTACCGGAACGTACACGTGGGTTCTGGTCCTCGACCATCAATGCACCCTCTTGTCTTCTCGTTTTAAGTCAAACGTGAAATATTTCTCTCGAAAGGTGTCTCGAGAAGTGAAAAGAAATATATATATATGTGTATGAAATAAATTAAAAAGTAAGACAAATGTGTTATGATAATGGCGACTTACGATATCGATAAACGTGGGCGAAGGAGCGTGGTGACGAAAGGGGATAGTTACCGAGACGATTCAACACCGATAGGTGACGAGGGTATTTACCTTGCTCGTCTTGGTAAGCATCGTTGGTGGCGGGCGAGGGTGGTGGCGGCGCATTGCCGTACCTCGAGCTCGTCGACTCGTAAGTCGACCAGGACGACGGCGGCAAGCTACCACGATGACGGTCTAGGTGGGGCGGGGGCGGCGGCCGGTCAGAGACATACGGGCCGGTCCTTGGGTAGAGCCGATCCCTCGCCCTGCTCGATGTCACGTGATAAGAGCTCGCAGGTGGTGGACGGCCGCGGGGTATGTAGCCGCCGACAGGATCCCCCGTCGAAGGATCCGTCGGATGACCGCCAACGACGCCGCCGCCGCTGCCGCCGCCACCGCCGCCGCCGCCGACGCCGCCGACGACGCCGACGCCGACGCCGCTGCCGCTCCCGGTGCCAACCCGGTTGCTCCTCTCGCTACTGTAGAAGCCACGTGAGTCAAAACCCTCGCCACCCCTCTCTCGCTCTCCACTTCCGGCGCCGGTACCGCCGACGCCGGTACCGGTGTTCCCGCCACCACCTCCGCCGCCGCTGCCGCCGGAAACGTTGCCTGTTCCGCCTCCTCCACCCCCGCTCCCGCCGCCGGATCCATGATCCTCCGAATTTCTGAAATACGGGAAAAAACGGGTAGATACTTTCGAAAATTAACTCGGGCCTCGTCATTGTACTTGACACCATCTTGAGTTCATCTTCGGATGCTTCGTGGCGAATGAAACACTTCGAACAGTATCTGAAGATGAACTTGGGGCGATTTCAAATATAAGATCGGATAATGCGGTTCGTTTCGTTGCGAATGCTTCGGAGCCCCGTATAGACCAATTCATTTCTGTCTTTAAGCGTTTCAAGCATTCGCAGCGTGTCGTGGACCCCATCTTATGACTATAGTCCGTCCCGTGTCCAATAGAAGAATTAATTTGTTAATAATTCTCAGGAAATATATTTTTCAATTGGACAGAAGACGCATTGTCATCGAAAAAAAAGGCCGCTTTAATCTGTCGACTATGTACACACAGACAGAAAGACTGTTCTATTCCCAAGGCATAGTGATATCGGAAATTTCGCATTAAACGTATCATTTCGAAACATTCGTGCGTCATGAATTTTGGAGCATCTCTGCCGATTCACAGAATAATCAGAGCAGTTTTGGTTGAGCGAAAACTCAAAAATAATGCGCCGAATTCAAAACTTCCGATATCACTGGGAAACGGGACAACCTTTCTGTCCACGACTGTACATCACAGGACGCTTGCAGCAGTTTTTTTTCTTACATGACACACAACAAATTAGATATGTATATATCTAAAAAATTATATATGTGTACATATAATTTTGACAGTTGTCTGACTATCTACTACGTATGTTCGTAAATCATAGGTTCGCTTTTGTCGTATTCATTTGTGTGTTTCGAAACATGTAAAAGAAAAAACTGTTGTGACCGACTGTGTATGGAAGACGGTATAGCCAGTTACAAAAAGAAAAAGGGTTTGCAATACTTTGTTTCGATGAGTTTTGCAGCGCATCTCGTATCCGATAGGAAAATGTATTTCCTGAGAATTGCTGAAAAACAAATTCCCCTATTGGACACAGGATGCATTCCGGAACTAATAATAAAAAGTGTCGCAACCTTTCCGACCGAGCATACATTCGTTTGCAGAACGGGTTGAATAAATTGTCTTCAACGCGCTTTGGAACGCGGCCGACGTCTACACAATGGGAATAACACTCGAAAGATACATTCTCTCATTAGATATACATAGTCGACATAATAACCTTAAAGATCTATTCAGACAAACTTGCATAATTCATATGCGCAAACCAATCGTGTGTCTGAGATAAAAGATATCTCGTGTATGAGTCATGATTGGTCGATTTTTTATATGTTATTGATTCCGTACATGTTATGCGATTATGCAAGAGCTTGTCTGGAAAAATTAAATCCTAGAACGCATAATGTATTTCTTATGCGAAACTATAAAGTAGTAAAGTTTTAACTTTATGTGTTAAAGCTACTTTATCGGTCTGCTCTGATCGTCACAGGAATAGTCCTTTCGTACAAATTGCTTTGCTAAAGCGACCGATATAATTATACCCGTCACTTCATACGAATCACCATATGTACGTTGCTTTAAAATAGCTTTATTTCCTTGATAAGCCGCCTGATCATGAAATGTCGTCATAAGGTAAAATTAATTAAATACATTAAAAAGTAATATTACGAGGAAAAAAATATTACGAAACTTGTATCACGACTCAATGTGACTTTCGAATTCTATTTTCTCAATACAGGTTGTATATACAATCATATTAATTATTACTATTTATAAACGGTGAAGAAATCGCAAACCGCGAAATAACCCGTCCCACTTTTTAAGTGTCTCGTCGAGGTCACTGCTATTTATTCTCCGGTATCATCCTGCATTCAGTTCAGAAACCGTAAATACAGGCCAACGTTGCGGAAATGCTTTTGCACCTGAGCGATCTGGCTAGCGCGAAAAAATCGCCGGGCGGCTTAAATATCTCAATCCTGCTCGCGCGATCGCAGCCTAGTCGAGCCGGGCGGCGAACCGGGCTCGTAAATTTCTGTGTACACCACTGACAGTTAACGCTCTCTTCCCCTTATTCTCTCCCTCTCCTCGTCCCCCCCGGGCCGTCACGCTTCGACAGTCACTACTCGGGCGATAGCGCCCGCGCAGCCGTCGGTCGAGACGTGGCAACATCGTCAGCGAACACGTCGTCACGGTCACCTGACTTTTCGTGGAAACGCGACGCCACTATACTCTTCTTGGTCGCTCGCGCGAGTGTGAATATCAGCGTGCACGAATGCGTGTAGCGTGTACGCACGGCCTTTTTTTCTCCTTTTCATTTCCCTCCCGTTACTCCTCGCTCTCTCTCTCTCTCCTCCGTCTCTCTTCCTCCCTGCCTCCCCTCCCCTCGTCGTTGCCTCTACTCTTCGCCCTCTTACGGTGAGATCAATCGATTGAAGACAGTCTCGGATTTTTCCGCAGGCGACACACGCGCCTCGACTTCGAGCACATACGTGTGGCGGTGTCGTTGATGCCACGGAGAAAGTGCTGCATCTATCTGGTTAATCGTATGTAACACGTAACCTGTCAAATAGATGGTGAGTAGACGAGAAAACGGCCACATTGGCGGCAATGACGTCAGGAAATGCCGAATGCGTAGTGAGAATGTTTGCGAGGAGGAAAGAGAGCGACTTATATCGAAATCGTGATAAGAATATCTCGACGGTTCTCAACCTGAGATATCGTGCGATCACCCTCGTCGATTACTCGTAACGTTACATGTTATCGCGATATGAAAGATGGACACGAAAACGCGAGAGATGCTTCCGATTAATCGGGTGACGGGAAATAATCCGGTAAAAACCGACGGCAGCTTTTTGCCGCGGTAAATGCGCAGCAATGATTAACTTAAAACAGTGCAGAGAGTTCATGTTCGCGGAGAAAAACGATCTACCGATACGCTATTTCGAACGAATAATCCTTGAAAACATTGACACGTCCACTCTTATGAATGTATTGCCAATTATAACATTAAATCGGCATCCTCGCGTGCTTGTCCATCGTTACGAATAATAATAATAATAATAGCGTGTAATATCGATCAGGAGGCATCGTATTACCGAATATATTCGCTTTTACACACACATCCTGACACCGTGTTACCGGGTGCACACTGGACGATTCCGTATTAAATTTCAGACTCCGCTGTGGTAAAAGCGCAAATTTTTCTGGACATCAATGGTCAATGCGTCACAGATAACATCGGTAACGCGCCGTTACGTACGACGATTAACACAGCGAGTTGTTCGTGCCAGGGAAAAGACGGTGCGGCATGTATGTACGTGTTTACAAAAACGGATATTGATACAGCGGCATTACACGAGAACCGAATCACAGTGACGATTCGTTCCGGGAATATGCGGAAAAACAACCGTGACTCGTGGAAAGAAATACGAGAAAATGCGATATAACTATCGACCACATTCACGGCGTCATTGGTGAATCTGTAAAATACGAGCGATGTGTGTATATTAAAAAACTCCTGTTGTGTAATATATACCGGCTATATTTTATATAATTTAAAATCTGTATTTACCATAAAAAAGTAGAGTATTGTGGACCGGGCGAAAGAATTGAATATAATCTATAAGAAGGAAAAAAAAAGATAAAAAAAAAAAAGAAAACAGAAAGTCTTCTCATTTGCATACCTTGTTGGCCCCTTCAAAATCCGCCGTTTACGATGATTTATATACGATGATCTACTTCGCAGATGCAGGCACGTTTTAATATCACCATAATCCGAGATCACTGTAATCCAAGGGCACTGTAATCCAACACTGTATCCATTGGGCGTGGTGAAGAAGTAAATGTACTGTACTATTGATCACGGTTGGCAACAACACATCACTCTTATTTTTCTCAGAACACTGATGTTTCAACAGACTTCATCACATTTATGCCTCTTCTCGAATTACTTGTAATTTCACTGTAATTGTAGTTGTACCTGTAGTCACACTGTAATTTGATTGCATTGTATAATCACAATAATCGTTATTGTTGGAACCTGCAGAATAAAAACTCAGAAGCAAACACACGTTGCGATAAACACTGAAACAATATGTATTGTCTCTCGATAATTTCTCCAGATGTAGTGTTCGTTAATTATTGCCGATTTTTTCACTTATACGCACGTTATACACACATAAAGGAAACTAAAACACAGAAATTGCAAATTCCTGATAATAATCACTGGTATTCAGCCGGATGAGAAGACAGAAGGCTGGAGTTTGCAATATTTCACTCGTAGATCGTACATACATACTGTTCGAATAAAGATAATGTAATAATTGTTCATGCATGACAACATTTCAATGTCATCTTCTTGCGCCTACTTCCTGTGACGTGAGCTTGAATTAATTCCCAGAATGTGACAACCGACACTTGTATGAGATGTATACTTGTGAGCAGAGAGACAAGAATATCGTTCTATTCTCAGATGCGACTAATTTGGATAAAAAGAAACGGAGGACATTTCCCAGAGCGATCGAAAGGACATGGCCATGCGGCAAGTCGAAAGTTATCCCATCTAATATTACCTTCCAATATTGCCTTGTCTTAAACACTTAATTTTGTCTAGTGTGTGTCCAATGACAACTCTGTTGCACTGGAAGAAGACGAGCAAATCCGAATAACGATCAAGATTGTTAGCTTGTTCGATGACAAAAGAGTAACTGAATGAATACATAGGCGTCTTCGTGAGGAAAGAGAAGGTCCAAAATCAAATCGCTAACAATAAAAATCCAGAAGAGAGCCGAGAACGAAGAAAGCTCCAGGAGAGAATGGAACATATCTCCGTTAGAGGCGCATACTGATTTATAATACCAAACTATCGGATTTATAATAACGACTGCCGCAGACTGCTGTCCACTTCTGAAATAACTGGGCTTGACCAAACACGTACCACGCATTCGCACCGACGATTTATACTTTTGCGCGACGAGCGCAAAAACTCACCCGTGAGAGGGGAACCTGTGCTGAAGATGCTGTGGCTCGTAGTACTGTGTGGTGAGGGCTCGTTCGTCCAACGTATGCTCAGTCGCATGAGCCTTCGCTGCAGACTTGATATCCATGAACGCCACCGTCGCTGAGGCACCCCCCGTGCTGGTAGAGGAACCGCCACCACCGCCACCGCCGCCGGAACCGGAACCGGAACCGCCCTCGTTGCCCTCGCCGAGGGAACCACTGGAACCTCCGTCCACGGGGCATTCTTCACCCCGTGGCAACAGCTTGACGCTCTGCACGCGTCCATACCTGAAACAGCGTTAAAAAAGGAAATCACGCTTGGCGAACTTGCGACGGGCCTTCTGCCGAGAGGATACGATCTTATCTGAACGGATTTCAGTCTCATCGGGTACTTTCGCCGAGCCGGGTCTACCTGATTCGGGAAGTTACACGGAGTTTCCGTTTATGTGCTATCTTGCTTATGGTTTGCTCGGTGTCTCCGAAATACAGATGTGTGCAAAGATCAACGTGGATCCTCGCCGGGAATTAGCGATTCAGCCAAACGTGCGACTACTCCACACTGCGAGAAGAAGCCCAGTTTCAGAGAACTTGAAGAGCACTCCGAATGACGCCGAGCGTCATTTGTACAGAATAATCGATACGAATATATATCCAACTGCCAGACTCGTATTTCGAAATTCCCTGATGAGCATCGTACGGAGACTTATATCTGCAGGAAGCTACCTATTCCTGAGTTTCCTCCGTTAGCAAACATTAGCTAGCTCTTACGGATGTGGCAACGTCGCGCTTCTATTCGCGGCAACTGCGCCGAAGGGATCTCGTCGGGATCGTTTAGGATTTCGAAGAAGGGTGGATAAATGCGAGAAGAAGCACAGGGGCCCCGTAATCCTCTGTCTCTTTCAGAAAGCTCTCTCGATACTCGACGCGAGCAGAGGAAATTAAGTCTAAGGCAGAAGAGGAGAAAGACCAGGTCTGTGAGTGTGTGTGTGAGTGAGTGAGAGAGAGAGAGAGAGGCCGCAGGGAGGGGAAGATAGAAGAAGTGAGGAGAGAGAAAGACGATCGAAGTCTCTTTCTCCGCTACGTTCGGATCAGTAGAGATAAAAATCGTTGCGGATGTTTTGTACAGAGACTACGACGGCTCTCGCCGAGTGGTTCGAGTCACGGTAACGCGTGAGGAGGGCAATGAGAGAAATGACGCATAAATATATATAAGGTGTGCTTTGAAGAAAACGTCAGCTTTAACGTCCGGGTTTCATCGATCGCACTGAGCTACTGGCGCGACGGACAGTTCCGTTTGGTCTGTGAAGTCCTTCTTAAACGACGATATTTCACTGTTATTCGGAGAAGGGTGTTTTCGCAAAACGAACGGAATATGTCCCGAACCGATCCGATACGTTATACGTGGCAAGAAGCCCGACTTGTGCCACGGACAATGTTTCTTCCGATGTTTTGAACACGTGTGCCAACGCTCCTTTGCTTAGTACGATGACAAAAAATGTTAATGCAGGGTTTCATACGATATATGCGAACCAGTTAGGTTCGCGATTTTCCCGGATCAAGTATCATCCCCGAGTTTCACGATCCTCCAAATGCTTGGGCATTTTAACCGGGTACCAGCCGGCCCCGCATCGCGAATGGCAAAGTTTTTCCAGGACGCGAATGGAGAGGCCAGCAGCGCTGATATCGATTTATTTTCCGATTGCATGGCGCGCTATCCCGCCGTCCGTCCCATTGGAAAAGCGTCGATATCTTTCGCGTTTCCCGTCTCGGCGCAATTTTGAATCGGCAAAGTTTCCAACGAAGGGCAAAAGGGGAAGGGAGAACGGAAGGTAGGGACAACCCCGGGGGGAGGGGGGAGGGAGGGGGACGAGCAGTCTCGTTTTCACCCCGTAGTAGAGAACTTAGGATATTGAATTTCGCACGAAATTAAAGAAAACAAAGAGCCCAGAGAAGTTGTTTCTGGCACACCCTGTGTGCAGAGCGAGAGAAAGAGTGCGCGCGGCGGTGAGCGATATCGCCGTGAAGAGGGGAAGTGCTGGCGTTCGCGTTCGCGTGGAAGGGGACGGTGGGCGCCGATTGGCCGCTCGAAGGATGAGCGGAGCGCGCAGGCGCAAATACCGGGACGTCTGGGGACTTTCCCGGGGAGTCGTTCGTCTAATCTCGCGTGAGTCGCACGTATCTGCTCTCTGCTCTGCTCCGTCTGCTCTCCCGAAAGAGTAGCTTTGCCAATTTTGTCGTATTACTCCTGCTGCGTACTTTCTCGATAAGCGTATATCGTCGCAGAAAGACACGGAGCGGTCGCATGATCGTTTCGCGCAAATTTGACGGCGGGAGAGGGCATGAAGGGGTTGCTGGTTGTGCCGAGATCCGGAAACGGCCTGCTCACGGATTACCGTGGATTACCTGCGGGAATATTTTACTAGGGCATTCCACGAATCGAAGAACCCGCTGGAAACGGTAGTTTCTCTCGTAGAAGCGAAATATGTTCGAAAGAAGGCAGCTACGCGAACGTGTTGCCTGGCCGTATGTGTCGTCTGTCGTGCCGACGACGGCTCAACTGGGTGTGGCTCCCTGTCGTTATTGACGAGAAAGGGCCTTCACGTTTCCTCCTTGAGCCCGTTTTTGTTGGTTTATCGATGATACCCTTGTAGCTTCCGCGTAGAAACTCGACAGATTAACGAGCGAACTCGGGGGAAAAAAAAAAAGAAAAAAAATAGAGAGCAGGAAATTTTTCTCGTTTCCGAGAACTTCGAAAATACTACTCGATGATCGAGAATTATTTTTGGAGTACCGATCGGTACCCCTCAACCGGAATAGCCAGGAGAAGAAGCAAACACACGCGTAATCTTTGCCACGTATGCATCTGGAAGAACGCTCACGCGAAATGGCGGACGCTGTGGGGCCACCACTCGAGCACCGCTCCCTCGCATAAATCGCTCTCCGTTCTCCGATCCGCGCTCTCGTTTCCCGCATGTAGGAAAACCCTACGTTGTGCCCTATTCTGCGCACGAGACGTTTTACTGTGTGACATGTGCTGTGTTTCTCCAGATTCTTCGTTACCGTCCGTTACGGGTTCTTAAGTACGGTTATCACGGCTGCCAAGTGAATCAGTGAATGTCGTAGTTGCGATATTCCGTGATATTTCGGAATAAAGGGAAGCCCCTCTCTGCTAGTGCTGCAAAATTATTTGCGTCCCGCTCGGAGAGGTATCGACACATTCGGGATTCCGATTTAACGATGTTTCCCAAAGCAAGGCGAGAATGGAGGAACTATCTCGGTTCGATTTAGCGTCGAATCTTGAAATAGTAGCAAAGCTATTAGACGCAATTATGACATTTTTCCGACAATTGTCGCGCATAAACGTGATGTTACTCAGACTGCTCGACCGAAGATCTGTGTCAACGAATGATATCGCTCGTCAGTAACACTACCACTGCGGGGTACCCTTAACAAAACGTACGCCAGGCTGTGGGCATTTTCATCGGATCCAAAGAAAATTCCCAAGACTCGTAGCAGCGGACTGGAACTGCGACCGCGTTCTGCCTCTCGCTTGCGAGAGCCGTTGCTGACCGCCTCTCCTTCCTTCCTCGTTCTTATCCCCCGTCCCTTCACCCCCCGACGCACCCTCCTCCGCGTTTCCCAACGAAAAAGGCACGCATACTGGTGCATTGACGTACTTTGGTGAAGTTTCACACATACACACACACAAACCCCCTTTCCTACGTCGTTCGTATGAGTGAAAGCAGCCGGGAGGGGGAAGGGGGGGGCCAGCGGATGGTGGAGGAAAACGCTCGGTAGGGGAATAGAAAGAGAGGAGGGTGGCTATGGTGGAGGGGAAAAGCGGAGTGCCACGGTGGCTGGCTGCCTGGCGAGCGAGCCGTGAATCGTATCCCTTCCCCCCTCGAGAATCGCTCCCGCTGGCCCTTCTCTCTCCCTCGCTGTGCTCATCGAGGAATTTTACTCGGGCAGACTCGCTCCCAGGCTTGGTGGTTCCCCCCCGTTTCTGGTCGCACGACGCACGACGGGTTCTGCTTTATGTGGCGGCATTAGCATGGGTCTCCATAAACCGAAGGAGTCTCTAGGTCAGACCCGTGTTCTCCTACGTTATACAGGAACGCTAGCCTCGCTCGCTCCTTCGCCGTCCAGTCCTGGATAATACACGACCGCGGTCGCAGCCGCTTGAAACTGTTATTAACGAAGTAACGATCACTCGTGAAGGACGATATAGTTTCATCAGCGGTTCCAGTGCGCGACGTTTATCGCTAGCTCGAAATGAAACAATCGCCGGACAATATATATGTATCTCTCTCTCTCTCTCTCTCTCTCTCTTTTGTATGCTTCGAGTCCGCCGCCGTGCGGCGAATTCATGTTGTTGTTGGCCGCACTCTGACTGACGAGGATAACCGCACGTCTGGCTACGAACAAAGCTCGGAGTATTGCTTTTGCACTTTAAGACCTCGCGAGACACGTATATCGCGGCCCGATGACTCACCCGGTCGAAGTTTTGCGATTACTGCGTATGTTTGCGCGACGTTATCAACGTCGGAGCGCGGGACATTATCGCAATTACATCGATGAGTCGTTTAATCGCGCCGTCCATCGTGACAGTGACGGTCGGAGTGATCGTACGTCTTTCCACGTTTCCAGACAGGAGACGTACGGGAAATCAATACACCGGTCCCCCCCCCCTCACGGCGAAGAGACGGCGGAGGGAGCGAGACAAATGCAGAAACTCGTCTTCCGTAAACTCGTCAGCGTTATAAATAACGGATTATCGATCTATTCCGCCCGCGAACCGACGCGTCGTCGTCCCTCTGTTTATAGAGACGGATAGTAACATGGCATTTATCGCTCAGCAATGGTTCGCGTGTGTGCTATTTCGGATCGGAGTGGTATAAAATTGATTAAAGCCAAACACATTTCGCGGTTTCCCTTGGCTTTTCCCCCGGCAAGCCAATCCGTAGGACGTCGTGACGTAATCGCGGGGCTGTTTCGCTTCGAGATGTTTCCCCCCCCCCCTCACGATGCCGCCTTGCAAAATAGTATATATCGCCGGCGATAAATTTCGAGTAACTTGCATTATAGGCTAATAAATTTCCGCAATGCGTGTGTGCGACNCGTTCTTTTTTTTGGGGGGGGGGGGATGGGTTAATCGGTGAAAGTCTATCGCAAACGGGGAGAAAATTTGACATCAGTTTTGATATATCGCCTTCGACGCATCGTACGCGCGCGGATGCTTCGTATATTTTACGTAAATAAAATCTAACGTACTTCTGCGGCGGTCACAC